ATATAATGTAATTTTTTATGAAATTTGTTTGCAATTTTTTGATGATATTCAAATAAAGATGGTGGGGTCCGTCAAATACCTCCCAGGTTAACACTACCAAGTGGCCATCCTTTGTTGTACGAAGCCTATTCCTCAAAATCCTCCTGTTTAGGACCCTCTGGTGCCCGTCCTTATTCTTACAAGTTTTTCATTAATGTCAAATGAACATAGGATAAACATGTTCATTTGACTAATGAATTTTTTATGATTTTTGTCAATAATTACATATGTATGTAATTTTTATGAAATTTTTTCTCAAATTTTAAAAGGATCTTTGAGGGAGAATAGAGTCTGTCAAAGCTCGCCGTTGCCGTGGTCATCCCTTGCTTTACGATCCCTTTTTCTCAATGGGCCCCTTCGTTAGGATAGGCTCTCCTCGATGGCTCTCCTTACGGCTACAGTGGATAAATGTATTCATTTGGCAATTGTATTTTAATTGTATCTTTTTGTTTGTAAAAAATTGATATGTATGTAATTTGTGCGAATTTTTTTCTGTGAATACTTTTCTTGAATAAAAAATAATTCTTAATAATTCATAATTGAAAAATTTTCGATACGATTTTCCAAATATACTAATTATAATCAATTTGATCAAAAACTTGCTTTTAATCTTCTTCCTCGGATATAACATAACATTCATAAAATAATAAATATTGTTCTATTTATAAATTTCATTGATATAATTATTATCATTATTCGACTGATAATAAAACGACGGTATTTAAAGAGAGGGAGCCTTTTGTGTTTTTAAGGAAATTTTCGATATCGATAAAATGTGAATAAAATTCATTCGACACAAGAAATTTCGTATTTCGTATTTATGCATATGCGAGGACATGGTTGGCCGATTAACTGAAAAACACCATTATTTCGATTATTATTTATGAATTTTTTTTGTAAAAGTATTTTCTCACTATTTTTGGTTCGGTTGAATTGTTGGGTCGGACGAATTTCACCAGGGAACCATTTCGCGACAGAAGTACACCGTAATTTTTGAAAGTTATGAAAGCAACAATCGGTTTTACTTCCATGACAAATTTTATTCCAATTAGTTGTATTGAATGACTATTAGGATGCGATTGCTTCGTAAAAGAATCATATGGAGAGAAAGAGGTATTGGTTCTCATTCATTGTCAGATTTCACTTGTATCGTGGAATTCTTCTAACCAATTCTCGCTGCTTAAGCGAACTCCCACCACTCGTTCCGATCCCATACAGAGACCGCTCCATGTTTCATTAGTCGCTTTTGATCGCATTCAGTGCCTTTTCCCTTTCCCTCTATAAAACCACTTATCATAAAGCTTATCATGCAAGGAGATATATTTAATCGTTTTCTACTTAACAAGTTAAAAATTAGATTTTGATTGTGTTCGATGAATTTCGTTATTGATTTGTCAGTGGGATTTTGCGAAATGGGAGCTGATTTTGTGGAACATGGATCAAAATAAATCCGGCATCCCTCTTCCTTATTTTTTGATTTCAAGAAAAGTTCTAATAAGGGCTCGAATAATGCTGCTTAGTAAATACCATGCAAATACCACAATTTTTTTAAAAACATTTGTTCGAAGGATTTTTTTATTATAATGAATAATATTTTGAAAAGTGATTTAATTCACATTATCACTGATCACTGATACAGTTATCACTGATACTGGCTACACACAATAACCACAAGTTCTCGCGCACTGTTGCATCATTGTTGTTCGAAATACACCGCCACAGCTATTTGCAGCTCTAATTGCTGCACAATGCTGTCTTTCATCTCTGCATGTCGCCGCTGAAGATGGTAAAGTCGTTGCTGAAACATATAAAATATTTATGGCCTTCAGTTTTGCAATTCGTTCCTATCATTTTGAATTTTTTTAAAAAAATATTAGGAATTACTTGCTAAACAGTCGAGCGACCCGCACGTTCTTTGGCACATTTGTTGTCAAATTTGTTGTTAACTTAAACTCCATTTTTATTTTCGTAATGCAATAAAAAGTTGCCTATCTGCCGTAAAATTAAGAGGATTAGTTTATTTGACGTGAGAAAGTGAAATTCTTTCGTTGCTAATCGAATTTTAGAAAAAATAAAAGCGCTAAAAAAGTGCAAAAATATCAAGGAATTTTTAAATTAGAAGAGCTTTAGCAACATTTTTCAATAAATATTTGTTTCCATAGTTAAAATTCAGCAAATTTTTCGTTGGTTATTCTATTGATAGTAATGATTTAAAGTATTGCAGATGGATTTTTATAAAGAGATATATTCGTTTCGAATACGAAACAAAAATATTAAAATAGAAGAAAAATAAAATTTAATTGATCAAGAACTCACGCCATACGATTTTGCGCCAGCACATTGTCGTCCTCGGGCTTAAATATTGCGAAACAAGCTGCCGCATCACGATCTTGGCAGTACTCGACAGGCACCGAAGGCCTCACTATAGCATTATTTGCCCCACGTACAGGCACAAAGCAAATGTTTATGGGGACATCATCGCCGTTTGATAAATAGCATAATGATGTAAGCATAAACAATGAACCGAGCATGCTTACCGTATATTATTGTATATTATTTCCGGTGTTCTATTTTTATAGTCAATTTTTATTTGTTTTCCATAATCCAGTAAATATTTTCACTCTTCCACATGAACTTGTCAGCTGACCAAACGAAGTTAAAAAAAAATTTTCGACGTATATTCAGTTAAAATCAATTGTTATGCAATTAAAAACGATAACAGTTTTCCTTTTTTTTGAACAATTCTTCCTAAAAACGTAAATTTTTAATTTGCAGCTTACGGTGTTTTTCTCTTAAGGAAAAAGATTTCGAAGAGTGAAATTAGATGAGTGAGTAATAAAAAATAATAAAATGAGTATTAAAAATTAGAAATTGCGATCTGAGATCGGAAAATATCATTGTTATCAAAATTTTAAATTTATTGTTCTTTCCAATTTTCATGAACATTTTCTCTTGATTTGCAGCATTTAATGCCATATTATGCATTCTTAAAATATTTTTGTTAAATAATTCGTGTTTAGTGTTTAGGCAATGATACAACAGCAGAAATGGCGTTAACATACCAAATGATAATGATAAATATGTACGCAGTATTGATAGCACCATTGAAAAGCTTTATTTTTTGAATTTGTTTATTTGTATAAATGGAAACATTCATAAGGGCAGTTGAGAAAATAAAAATAGGGAATATGAATGCATTTGTTCATATAATATGAACTTGATCCGTTTAATCAAAATATAGGTCGTGTTGAATCTATTATAAAATTTTCCTGGACTAGGATTCGGTTCTATTTCCGCGTCATTAATGAAGCGAAATTAAAATGAAACTGGCGATGTTGGGAGCTACTTGCATTTCTATCCTCGAATGACTCGGCCCAGCTGTAAAAGGCGAAACTATTGAAAAGACCATGAAGAAACACTTCAAAAGAAGAAAAAAACCGGAATTTGTTGAACTCCGCTTCATTAATATTATTATTGTATTATTTATTTATTAATATCATTAATATTTAATTATTATTGTTATTGTTCCATGAATTCAGAAAGGATTTCGTCTCTTTTCAGCGTTCTTTTGTAAGGCTTACTGAAATCAAAAACTGGATGTCAACTTTTTGAAACATTACAGAAATTCATTTTATTCCATATTTGCTTGGTTGTACCTTTTTTACTTTGGTGACAACTTG